CTCTTTCTTTTTTTAAAAAAAAAAAAATATATATATATATATATATATATATATATATATATATATATAGCCAATTTTTTTTTATCTGTAAAAGTCTCCACAAGTATGGGGTGTCCTGGCCTTAAAATGACAGAAGGTCAGATAAAAGTATTAGATAATGATAAAACTGTACAGTCATTGTTCTGTTCTTTTTCTAGGTCACAAAGCGAAAAACAAAACGTATCTACATAAACACAAATGTTCACAATGCAAGGCTACATCGATTCATTGGTCACTCGATTGCTTGAACTCGCATAGAATTTTCTGCGCAGATTACTAATGTCTGTTTAAAGATGGCGACTTACATGAACTGAAGGGGCAAATGCGTTCTGAGAGAGCATATACAAATTAAAGGCGATTACTATATATAATCACAATGGCTTTAAATAACATTTTTCGATCTACAGTGTTGGGCTTACGGACATGGAGTGTATTTGCAGGCGCGAGGCAGGGCAATACTGTCTTAACTGCCATCAAGCAGCCTCAATGCAGCTTTTTTGCGAACTGGACGTCAACCAGTATTTGTAAACGTAAGTATTATTTTGTTTTTGACATCCGAGCTCTGACTCCACGACTAATAGACTGCTTCAACATGCTGTCTTATATGCACATATTCACAAGACACGAGACTGTTAAAACCTAACCATTATGATATTGATGGGTCAACACTTATCCAGTTTTATTTTTAATTCGCAGACATAATTTAGTATTTTCTCTCAAATTGAGATTAAGTTTGTATCATGTTAGTCCATAGGGGTTTCTTATTATGGTTGTGTGTTTAAATTTTGTACGGCGTAGTTTATGGACAGCGTGTGCAGTTACAGTGTTAACCCCTAGGTGGCTCCAAAAGCTAGGTCACTGCATTTCCTGATTGAATAGACATCAAATCCTCTGTTTTGTCATATGACCTTTATGTTTTGTCATGTCCACATACTTTTAAGCTGTAGATCTTATTCTATATGATCCTATAATAGCTGTCTATTTTCAAATTGTGTCATTCATCATTTGTTTGGAAAAAGCTACTTTCGTCAACTCAACTCTGTTACTCAGACATATTACCCTTTTTGTTAAAATCATCACTTTTATATACACTTTGTGGGGATAGCCATATCCAGTTTATTTCTATATCAAATTGAAAATATTTTATACCGTTTTTCAATTATTGCAGCACTTAAGTATTAAAAAAAGCAAATATGTCTAATTCGATGAATGGAGACAGTTTTTTTTTTAAATTTCTCATTAATTTCCTATTGTAGTAATTTTTGACCGAGAAGAACATGAGTGACCATTTTTAAGACCTTTGAGCCTATTTTGAATCATGACAATTTTTTTGTGTGTGTGTTCTCATAGCAAGAACCAAAAACATCACCAAGTGTCATACCATTCCAATGAAGTAAAAACATGACTGAAGACCACTAGAGGGTTAAAACGAAAAATAAAAATTTGACAGATACGAGTTAAGGGAAGAAAAGCACAAGATGGTTGTCACTTATGTGTGAGTAAGTATCGATATGACTAAGTGTGAGTTATCATCCCAGCAATGTGAGAAAATTAACGATTGTGGGTCTAATTTGATGTTGCAGACTTGTTAGGGGGGCTGGTGTACATTTGCTATTTGAGTTATGGTTTGAATCTCCCCCACAGTAATATTAATATTATCATTATCGGCTACTAATGCATCAAGAATTAATTATTTTATGTTTTGGAAAAGCACTGCAATTATTTGCACTGCAAATTTTGACTCATCCACATTATTGTTATTAATTCAATAATTAATTAAATAAGTCTTATTAGTGTACTTATGGGAGTATTGTTTTAGTTTAGTTCTGTACTTGTGTTCTTTGCTGCCTTTTTTTTTTTAGGTAGTTGTTGTTTAAAAAAAAAAAGCAAGTATGTCTTTGGCTAAGCCAGCATGTGTTGTGTAGGATGACAGACAGGTTATAGTTACAAGTAGCTATACTCTTTATAGATCTTGATCTATGTTGTAACCCCTCTCTCCCGGGTCAGGGGAGTGAGGTTTACCTGCACAGCACCTACTCGCTGGCCTCCGTTACACTCACCCCCCTAAACCTCACTCCCATCCGGGTCATGGCACCAATGTAACCCCTCTCTCCCGGGTTCTCACCGCCACCGAGTGACCCAATCGTTCCGAGTGGGTCTCGAACCTGGGTCTCTGGCGTGGGAGGCGGCCGCACTAACAAGGAGGCTAAAGACTGCAGCCACTAGCGCGTTTCGAGATCAGGGGAGTGAGGTTTACCTGCACAGCAGCTACACGCTGGCCTCCGTTACATATGTTTCTGTTGTGGCTTTTTACTTTTATTTGTCCTTTTGTGGATGATTTCTTATTCAAAGTGACATACTGTACACTTACTACAGGGAAAGTCGCTCTGGAGTGAACTGGGGTCACTGCAGAGTGATGGCTTATGAGATTTTCTTCTCTTTTTTGTGATTTGAAACATATGGGTTATTGACCTAGATCTTTAATCACTGAGCTAGACCACCCCAATTATGAAAATTACAGCAGCACAACTGTTTTTATCATTTATAATAAAAATAAATATTTAGAAAGAAAAATAAGAATCATTTCTATTGTAAGAAATATTGTAATAATTTTTGAAGGATCATGTGACACTGAAGGCTAGCGTTTTTGTCAAAGTATCATACATTATCTTTATTAAAGGGACAGTCCCGCATGATATTGTGGTGTATTGTTCATGGCCCCTTTTTGTAGCTCTCAAGAGAGGTTGTCGCCAGTATATTTCACTGGGGTTACATCTCTATTTCCCGCGCGTGTTTTCTTGTTCTTGGGGCAAAAAAATAATGTGTGGGGGGGATGTGTTGAATTACCATTTCCCGCAAGACTTATGAACTATGAAGGAGTGGGTGTGTATACTGTTTAGGTTATTTAACACCCAAAAACGTTTATTAGGCTGATTTGTGAAACCAGCTTTGAAGATTTTCCCATGCATTCAATTTATAACTCCCTCACATTTGCATAGAAATACAGCAGCAGACGTCTTAAGCATCAGCAAAAACATTTACCCATTGTTTTAGTGCCTGAAAGTATTTTTCTTAGTAATCAGAATTAACTACGTCACTGCTTTAGCCTTTCTTTGACACATACTAATTTAGTAGTACAAGTAGTACCACGCTTAACAGAGTATTTCACCCTGCTAAAATTCTGTCATCATTTACTCACCCTCATGTTGTTGTTCCAAACCTCTGTGGAACATATTTGCTCAGTGTTTTTTAGTCTATACGATGGAAGTCAACTGTTTGGTTACGCAGAAGAAAGTCATTCAGGTCAGGTTTTGAATGATGAGGAAATGATTTATTTATTTATTTATTTTAGACATATTGATCAATGTACAGTGCACTTTCCTTGGGAAGAAAAAAATCTGTTTAGACAATATATATATATATATATATATATATATAAAATAATTACATGAAAACCTTATAATAGTGTTAATAAACATAATAATGATGACAGTAACTATAATAGTGCCATTTACAAGGGTTAATGTAAGTGACTGGATGAAGTCACATGTAAAGTTTTACAAGTAAAATCCAAAGAAAAGCTCATGAAAAGGTTTCCATTACATATTTATATTCATCTCTACTAACAAAACTTGACATGGGATAATTTCCTGTGTTGGATAAATGCATCTCTGGCTGCAATACTACCATTTAACCATTAGGGGATAAAGAGGACGTGATCAGCTACAGATACAGTTTACACTATCCCCAAGTTTACTTGCAAACCACTAAAGCTGATCATCTCTAAATAGAGCCATTTTTCTTCATGGTTGGTCAATAAATGTCTAAAATGGATTTATTGTAGGCATTTGAAATTTGAGCAACTGCTTAAATTATATAGTAAATGTAAAACTGGGTGTTATGTTGGAATCCAGTGCTTGTCATTTTATAGTTACATGATATGACAGTGCAAAAGTAATAAATAGTGTACATTTTACAAGTTTGTCCTGTTTTATTTGGCTATGATGATTATGATTAACTTTTTTTTGACAAGAGGTATGACAGTTTCACAGACATTTAAATTTTTTTCCTTGAGTGGGTGTACTGGAAGGATGTGGCCAACCAAATCACCCCCACCCTTGGTGACACTTTGTTACCATTGACATGTATTAAATAGTCTGAGCTACAGAAGAGAGTGACTACGAAACTTTTTGACTATCAAATACACATTTAAACACCTCCTTATTAAAGCGCTCTGCATCATTAATAATTATAATTATTGAGGCAGACATACAGTGACGCAGCTTACATCAAATAAAAACTAAGTTCTCCTTGATTCTTGGGGCTCTGGGATTGTAGTTTATTAATTATGCATTATTATTTTTTTATTAAAAGGGTCATATGATGCTGCTGAAAAGAACATTATTTTGTGTATTTGGTGTAATGAAATGTTTATGCGGTTTAAGTTTCAAAAAACACATTATTTTCCACATACTGTACATTATTGTTTCTCCTCTATGCCCCGCCTTTCTGAAACGCGTCGATTTTTACAAAGCTCATCGGTCTGAAAAAGCGAGGTGTGCTGTGATTGGCCAGCTATCCAGTGCGTTGTGATTGGCCGAATTCCTCAAGCGTGTGACGGAAATGTTACGTCCCTTACCATATTGTGATGCCTGCGGCAACCACATGTGACGCCCAGAGAAAAAATTTAATCTCTACACACAATCAATTTGATAGCCAATTTTTCGCTCATTGGCTCTTTGCTTTTTTTTTCTTCCCAGAATTCCCAAGTCAGCTTCAGGACCTGCATCCATCCATGCTGAAGCAAGAATATGCATCTGTCCCACTTGCACAATCGTATGTTTTTGCATTGACCCACTCATCCATGTGTAAACATTATGATTGCATATTTGGGATTAGGAAGTACATGATTTCTTCAGACTTCCTTTACGTGCTTGAATGCAGAACGGTAGCAGTATTATGTAATATCTTTGCAGGGTAGACGATGTGGTGAAGAAACTGCTTTCGCTGGAGCTTGCAAATCATGTACGGGTTTTCATTTCCTTTTGATTCTTTATTTAATATTTTCAGAATTAAAAATAGGGTGGAATAAACTCAGCTGTTGTGCATTTATGGTAGCTTTTTATTTTGTAAGTTACGATTGACTTAAGAACTATAAAAAGATGTTAAATCATATTTTAATTTAATTATCTGTCATATTGTCTTTCTTTAGAGTGAAAAACTGCGTTTGAAAGAGGAACAGCTTATTGCCAAGGTGCGGAGGGATGAGAATGACCGCAGCTCAACAGAAGTCAAAGGCAAGTTCTCTTTTTTTTTTTTACAGTTGACAGTCACTTTTTTAACCATACTGGAATCTCAGAACTTGACTCAATCATGCGGAATGTCCTTGTTTGCGTTACAGTGGCGATTTTGACAGCACGTATTCGCAACTTCCAGGAGCACTTGCACAAGCACCCTAAGGTAAACACAACTCTTCAGTAGCAATACTTTTTTTGTCGGCGTTTAGTAAAGGTGTCAAAACTTTTGTTCCCACTCCACTTGATTAACACCCACAGAGAAACAGGATATCCTGTGCATATGCTCATGTGTTCAATAGTAATTGAATCATACACTATGTTAAGAAATTAATCGTTTTATTCAGCGAGGACACATTAAATTGATAAAAAAGTCACAGTAAAGACTAATTTTGTTAAATGCTGTCCTTTTGAACTTTCTATTAATCATAGAATTCTGAAAAAAGTATATCACAGTTTCTATAAAAATATTAATCGGCACGGCTGTTTCCAACATTTATAATAATAATAATAATAGTAGATGTTTCTTGAGCACCAAATCTGCATATTAGAATGATTTCTGTAGAAAAATGTGACATTGGAGACTGAAGTAATGGCTGCTAAAAAATTCAGCTTTGCCTTCACAGGAATAAACTACATTTTAAAAATAAAACAATTATTTTAAATTGAAATAATATTTCACAATATTGTTGTTTTTATTATATTTTTGATCAAATAAATACAGCCTTGTTAAGCATAAGAGACTTCTGTAAAAACATTTTAAAATCTTATCAATAGTGTACAGTGTGCCCAAAATTTATTTTGAGTCTCAGACACACACACACACACACACACACACACACACACACACACACACACTAAAAAAGTCACAGTAAAGACTAATTTTGTTAAATGCTGTCCTTTTGAACTTTCTATTAATCATAGAATTCTGAAAAAAGTATATCACAGTTTCTATAAAAATATTAATCGGCACGGCTGTTTCCAACATTTATAATAATAATAATAATAATAATAGATGTTTCTTGAGCACCAAATCTGCATATTAGAATGATTTCTGTAGAAAAATGTGACATTGGAGACTGAAGTAATGGCTGCTAAAAAATTCAGCTTTGCCTTCACAGGAATAAACTACATTTTAAAAATAAAATAATTATTTTAAATTGAAATAATATTTCACAATATTGTTGTTTTTATTATATTTTTGATCAAATAAATACAGCCTTGTTAAGCATAAGAGACTTCTGTAAAAACATTTTAAAATCTTATCAATAGTGTACAGTGTGCCCAAAATTTATTTTGAGTCTCAGACACACACACACACACACACACACACACACACACACACAACTTTTAAAATAAAACACTTGTTATATATTGTTAAAATGAAGACAAACAATTTAGACATCTATTCTAGTCGTCTCTTTCTGGTCATCTTTCTTTAGCAAAAATGTTCATAGTTATTGTGATAAGCCTCTGTGACTACTTTGCTTGAAAAACTGAACTTGATAGGAAATTACTTCATACCTCCCCCAAATATTAACTTTGGACCAGTTGGTAAAGCGTTTGCAAAATAGAAAATTGCAAAAATAGATGAAATAGGGAAGTTACAGTAGTTGTGGGAAAAGCTTTAGAATCATTTGTTTGCAAATGTCACTTTTTCAAATAATGTTTAAATGTATAAATCATTGTATATTCTACTTTATATGAATAATTATAAACACATTCATGTCATAAAGCATAGCTTTCTGTTCCCAGTACTGTTATTTAAAGGGATAATGATTTACTCACCTTTATGTTGTTCCAAACCGATCTTCAGAATACAAATAAAGAGATTTTTAATATTCTCTCATCATATATATCCATCTAAACCCATTTAAAAGTCTGTGCAAAAGCAATGGTGTCTCTTCAGAAGACTTGCACTAAACTGCTTGATTCATATGGATTACTTTTCAATGCGTCACAGTTTTGGTTGTGTGGGCTTTCAATGGATGGACAAAAAAGATGAGTCTTACAGATTTAGAACAACACGTGGGTGAATAAATGATGACAGAATTTTCATTTCAGAGAGACAAGTTAATGTGCAACAGCATCAAAACCTCTTCTGTTTCATTCCATCAGGATAAAGCCAACAAAAGATGGATGCTCATGGCCATCGACAGGAGGAAGAAAAAGCTGAAGATTCTGAGAAGGACTCGTTATGATTCCTTCGAGAAGGTGTGTCAAGAGCTTGGAATCACATACACGTTCCCTCCTGAATATTATCGGCGGGTCACCCGACGTTGGCTGGCCAAAAAGGCCTTCTGCAATAAGGTAATGTTCTCAGCCCAGCTCAGCCAAAATGCCCCAATGTTTTTTTTTGTAGATTTCATGGTTTGTGTTTCAGCTGTTGTTTACATTGTATTTTCTTCCCTTCAGGTCTTTCAAGAAGTCCAGAAACAAAAAGCAGAGCAGAGAGAGAAACAGAGAGCAGCGGAGGCTAAGGGAAAGGAGCCAGCAACCTCTACAGAACCACAAGGAACTGTAGCATAGTGATGTTCAGACAGCTGTCAATACTTGTGTGCTGACAAGTCCAGAAGAACAACCTGATACATCAACATTCAAAGAAAAATTAAACAGAAACATCATGCTCCACATCAGATTATAATCATTTATTTTGCCTTTCATTGATAATTCACTTATTTCTCTGAATGTTTTTTGGCTGCACCAAATAAAAGAGCTTAAAATTCATTGTTTGGTCATCATTCCTCAAAATACTGATAATTATATCAGAATAACTTCACAGAAATACTTTGATGACATTAGTTTCACTCACTCAGGAGTTTTGGATTGGCAGCTGATGAAGACCTGTGTCATATATGCAAGACTGATGCATTGTGGTTGTGTGGGTATAGTGCAAATGGTTTGGTTGCTCTCAGTTCCCTGAACGCTGTAATTTTACAAGAAATGTGTGACAATCAGGTGAATGATCTGAGGTCAAACTATCAATTCTTTACTCATGTGAGATTATATATTGATTGTTAAGAGTTCTGGTAGATCGCATTTCCTATTACAACTCCGACCTCCCCCTTTGTGATGTGCTTTGTGTGAAGCTTATATGCGTGAATCGGAAACGTTGCATACGAGAGTAGCAAACGCGGTGTGTTGGTGTGTGTCAACTTCCTTTTCAGCTGCAAGCCCCAGATCAAGAGGCTCAGAAGAACACAAGGTACTCTTTTGTAATCTACTATTATATATTATTTTTCAGATTTTTTGTTTATGCTTTATTTTAAGGTGTCCTTGTTGCAGTGTAATTATACATTTAAGTACTGAGTAATATTAACTACTATAAGGTTAAGTTTAGGAATCGGGTTTGGTTTAGGGTTACTTGCATGTAATTATGCATAATTCATTATTATAATAGTAAGAACATGTAATATGCGTAACAAGGACACCTTAAAATAAAGTGTTACCCATTTTTTTAAAGATAAAAATAGTTTTAATCTCAAAGCTGTTAGTTTCATATATTGCATTATTATTATTATTAATCAGTTATTATACATGTTAGTGGGATACAGACTATAATTATCTGTTAAAATAACAAGTGTAAGTAGATCTGGTTCAGATTTTTTTTTCCTATAGACAAAAACTGTTTTTACACATCAAAATGTGTATGGGAATGTCAAATATTCTGTCCTGTAAAACTAATTTTTAAAGGTACAGTTCACCAAAACATTTTATTATTTACTAACCGTCATGAGTTTCCAAACCTGTATGATTTTCTTTTTACAGTAGAACACAAAAGAAGGTATTTTGAACAGTGTTTTAACTGTTTTTACCCATAGACTAACAGTCAATAGGGTCAAAAATAATATTGAACGCCACTGACTTTCATTGTATGGACAAAAAACATCTTTTGTTTATACAAATGAAATGGTACAAATTTGGAACGAAAAGTGGGAGAGTAAATTATGACAGAATTTATTATGGGTAAATTATTCCTTCATTTGTACAAAAGACCCAGAAAGCAGAATGGAAAATATTATGAAATAGATATTTTTCTTTCTAAAATGGTGATTAAATGTTAATTAGTAAGTGTTATTTTGTATAACAATTGATAGATCACTCTTGTCACTCTTCTAGGAAGGAAACCTCTCGAGCCATTTTCTCATCTTTGCCGGACTGCTCATTTTGACTGACATGTCAAACCCAGTCATCACTCAGCCCGGTGCTGGATCTTATGGTACAAATGTGCAGACTGGAGAGTGGAGCACCGGTCTTTGTTCTTGCTGCAGTGACCTATTTGTCTGTAAGTTCTGAGAGAAGTCGGCAAATCTTTTGAAGAACTTCAAAGATACCACTTCACTGGCATATTTTAGCTGTGGTTTAATATTTAGCCAAGGAGGACTCGTGACTTTAGTCAGTTCACTGCTTTTGTCAGTGGCATGTCATCAACATAAAATGGATGATCTTTGAGCTATTTTCTGCATTTTTCCATTGTCTAGGTGCTCTTGGCTGTATCTGTCCGATAGCTCTCAGCTGTTACACAGCAAACAAGTACGGTGAAAATGTATGTCTAGCATGTGTACCTGGAGGAATGGCTGCAATGAGGACACACATGCGACTGACCTATGGAATACAGGTAATGTATACTACAAATTAAGGATTGGATTTCTCATATTGTGTATTTAAGAATTATTATTCATGCTGTCGCCACTTGTTTTGTACATACTGTATTACACAATGATATCTCCCCTGCAGGGCACAATATGCAATGATGCTTTGATGACCTGTTGCTGTGGAATATTTGAAACATGTCGAATGACCAGAGAAATTCGTGTCAGGAATGGAGAGGCCTAGTTACTGTCTTTACTAATAACCGTTTCAGTCTTAAGATTTTTTAAAAGCATTCAAATCCATTGAAATCAACACATCATTTATTCATTTTCTCTTCATTGTTAAAGGCAGGAGAATTAAAACCAGGATAGAATTCATAAACATACAATTTTTTGGAAATAAAAAGCGTGACCAATACTGTTTACTTAGTCAACAAAGAGAGTTACCTTACATAATTGCAGTTTAAAAGTCTCGAATTTGTGTAAATTCTTGTCATGTTCAATAATACATTGTATGTTTTGCTGTACAATTTTGCTGTAATGCTCAAAATGTGCCATCCTGCGGCATTAATATGTAACTGTACAGAAGCTGTGTGTCATATATTTAATAATTACCCAAGCACAGTACAGTGGAATTAATCATATAGCCTACCTAATCATATTAAATAAAATGACACAATTTTTAAGCTATTTACTGATTACTGTTGATTCTAATACTTTTTTGTTTTGTTTCACAAACGACCATAACAAATGATATGTCTTCTTTCACATCACACATGAAATATATACTGTAAAATATTCAGAATATTATTCGCTATAACGCACAAGGCTTGTTTTTTCAGATTATGCCTTTACTGTTTTTATATACCGTACTGAAACCATATTTGGATACAGTATATAAAACATATGAAAAATATGGTTTCAGTACGGTATATAAAAACAGTAAAGGCATAATCTGAAAAACCAAGCCTTGTGCATTATAGGGAATAATATTCTGAATATTTTACAGTTGGTTTGATACCTGTATCTCAAACTGTGTCAGAGTTTAATTAATTTAAGTGGATACAGTACTGAAACCATATTTTTCTTATGTTTTATATACTGTACCCACTTAAATTAATTAAACTCTGACACAGTTTGAGATACAGGTATCAAACCAACTGTAAAATATTCAGAATATTATTCGCTATAACGCACAAGGCTTGTTTTTTCAGATTATGCCTTTACTGTTTTTATATACCGTACTGAAACCATATTTGGATACAGTATATAAAACATATGAAAAATATGGTTTCAGTACGGTATATAAAAACAGTAAAGGCATAATCTGAAAAACCAAGCCTTGTGCATTATAGGGAATAATATTCTGAATATTTTACAGTTGGTTTGATACCTGTATCTCAAACTGTGTCAGAGTTTAATTAATTTAAGTGGATACAGTACTGAAACCATATTTTTCTTATGTTTTATATACTGTACCCACTTAAATTAATTAAACTCTGACACAGTTTGAGATACAGGTATCAAACCAACTGTAAAATATTCAGAATATTATTCGCTATAACGCACAAGGCTTGTTTTTTCAGATTATGCCTTTACTGTTTTTATATACCGTACTGAAACCATATTTGGATACAGTATATAAAACATATGAAAAATATGGTTTCAGTACGGTATATAAAAACAGTAAAGGCATAATCTGAAAAACCAAGCCTTGTGCATTATAGGGAATAATATTCTGAATATTTTACAGTTGGTTTGATACCTGTATCTCAAACTGTGTCAGAGTTTAATTAATTTAAGTGGATACAGTACTGAAACCATATTTTTCTTATGTTTTATATACTGTACCCACTTAAATTAATTAAACTCTGACACAGTTTGAGATACAGGTATCAAACCAACTGTAAAATATTCAGAATATTATTCGCTATAACGCACAAGGCTTGTTTTTTCAGATTATGCCTTTACTGTTTTTATATACCGTACTGAAACCATATTTTTCATATGTTTTATATACTGTATCCAAATATGGTTTCAGTACGGTATATAAAAACAGTAAAGGCATAATCTGAAAAACCAAGCCTTGTGCATTATAGGGAATAATATTCTGAATATTTTACAGTTAGTTTGATACATTTATCTCAAACTGTGTCAGAGTTTAATTAATTTAAGTGGGTACAGTATATAAAGCATATGAAAAATATGGATTCAGTACGGTATATAAAAACAGTAAAGGCATAATCTGAAAAAACAAGGCTTATGCATTATAGGGAATAATATTCTGAATATTTTACAGTTAGTTTGATACATTTATCTCAAACTGTGTCAGAGTTTAATTAATTTAAGTGGGTACAGTATATAAAGCATATGAAAAATATGGATTCAGTACGGTATATAAAAACAGTAAAGGCATAATCTGAAAAAACAAGGCTTATGCATTATAGGGAATAATATTCTGAATATTTTACAGTTGGTTTGATACATTTATCTCAAACTGTGTCAGTTTAATTAATTTAAGTGGATACAGTATATAAAACATATGAAAAGATATAGTTTCAGTACTGTATATAAAAACAATAAAGGCATAATCAGAAAAAACAAGCCTTGTGCATTATAGGGAATAATATTCTGAATATTTTACAGTTGGTTTGATACCTTTATCTCAAACTGTCAGAGTTTAATTAATTTAAGTGGATACAGTATATAAAACATATGAAAAATATGGTTTCAGTACTGTATATAAAAACAATAAAGGCATAATCTGAAAAACCAAGACTTGTGTATTATAGGGAATAATATTCTGAATATTTTACAGTTTGTTTGATACCTTTAGATCAAATGGTGTTGTCGTTTAATGGATTTATATTATTGCATACATTAAAAGTTGTAAAATTATTATAAAAAACCTAAAATTGTAATTCCAAAAGCTGAGCTTTGTGCGATAACAGGTATCTTTTCCCGAACATTTTAGTATTGGTTTTATATTATAATGTCACGTAGTTAAATTGTTTAATTAATTTAAATGTTTTTTTTTTGTTTTTTTTTCATTCCTAGAAATTAAACCTTGTGCAACATAAAGGGCATATATTTATGTCTATCTGAGTTAGTTTGGGCTCAAAACATAAAAGCT